AGCCTATCCCACAATGCTTAGTGTTTAGCCTATCCCACAATGCTTAGTGCTGATATAGTTCCTCATTAAGGTAGATATAGAAGTCCTATTGTCTTTTGATCTTTAACATTAAAATTACAATAACACCACCAGGCAAAACTAATCGACAACATGTGTTAATCAATACCTGGCTGACACCTGTAATGCATTGTAAAGTACTTGGGATTGCCAACACAGGGATCCCGAAGAACCTTTGTCAGATTATTGATAAGACATTGGCTTCTTCCCTGACAAACTTCCATGACGCTCTTTTTACTAGTCTCCAAAGACGTGCAGTTTGTTAAAGCTCCACTTGCTGGACAAACACCAACCACTGTGCGTCCATAAACCACTGAACGTACTTCAACAACCGTAGGGAAACTTCCAGCTTTGGTGTAAGGTGGACACGTGATATCGAGAGTGTTGTTGCAGGACGTAACGTTGTGTTCTTCAAAGAAAGTATGACAAAGTCCGTTACTCTGKTTTTTTTTGTTTTTTTTTTYYTYYKSTTTTTTGCGTTTYCGTTGCTTTTCTGCATTGTTTTCTCATACATTGCTGTTTTTTAGTTTTAAAATAATAATTTTTTGAATAGTAAGAAATTATATTGATGGAGAACAAGACAAAACTCTACGGCAATGTACAAAAACAAAACAAAACAACGACAACAAAAAATAACAAAACAAACCAAAACAAACAAACAAAACAAAACCAAAAAAACCGAGCACAAAAAGTCCATGTTGTTTGGTCTCACGGTAGTAAAATGCTTTAAACGTTTTTCACTAACCTTCACAGGGTAAATAACAAGTCTTGGCGTTTTTCAAATGATTCCCACCATGCCATCCCCAGTACAATTCTTGATCTCCATAGATAAGTTTTCTGGTTCTACTCCTTCTTGCGTGCATACCACATGCCTCGCAATGCCCCCATGGTGACCACATGGTGTAAATGGCTCCACCTTGATAAAAACAAATAACTCTAGTAATAACTAATAATAATAACTAATAACTCTACAAATAACTCTACTGGATTGTGCAATAGTAAGGTGCATTACACAGCTATTTTAAAAAGGGTGTCGGGGAGAATGGCAAATGCACGACCGAAAGTTACTCTGGGTTTTGATTATGGATGGCAATATTCGATTATCAAAGGGCTCAATATCTGTGTTTCTACGCCACAGACGTCGCCTTTTTGGATTTATCCATCCAGCATGGCGGCATAACTTTGATGTTCATTTCTCGTAGGATTCTTTTCATATGACACAAAGAGTGGATATTGTGTTAAGTCCGGAATTTGAACTCGGGCATAATTGAGTATAATTAAGCATTATTTAATTACTAAAGTTTTTCATTCGTTTTATGTTTGAATTTAAAAAAATTGATTCAGGATTCCACACCAACTATTACTCAAATGTAAACGCCTCTAGTTTTTAGTGTTTTTATTTTTTATTTTATATATTTATTTATTTTTTTTTTTGCAATTCCCGCATTAACTTGGAAAACCTTCTCTCAGGTTCTTAGTTAACGAGTGAGTAAAATGGGAAAGAAGCACAAAAAAGAAAAATTCAAGAAACAAACAAAAACAAAACGAAACAAAAAAAGTGGAAAACCGTACTTACTTTTTTGACAGCTGTACTTGAATATCACCTCCTTCTCTTTTCCAGGACAGGGGTCACTTACTACCCCTAACTTTGCGAGACTAACAGGATTGACGTTACACGCTGTATACGAACAAATCTTGTTTACTTTTGGGATATTCACAGTAGAGCAGTTCCCATCTAGTCTGCCATAGGAGACCTTTTTATGATGTATCATGACTGTATCTTTTGGACACTCCACTTTCGCGTAATCATTGTCAGCAAATGTCCTTACAACAACTGTTTGAAGCAAAAGATATATGGCAATTACAGCGGAATTTGTTGCATCGCGACCTCTTTGTTTTGAAGTTTGTCTGGATTTTGTTCTTTCTTTCAAACTGAGGGGCGGAGCTTTTCGAAAACTCGTTCAATCATTGGCTGATTAGTATCAAGCTCCGCCCCCAAGTCGCAGAAAAACCTAAATCCCAACTATTTCTTTTGAACATTGAAGTCGCGCTGCAACGGTTTCGGCTGTAAACAGCTATTTCAAAAAAAAGAAAAAAAATGCACAGGAACCCAACTATCACAGAAAGGTACGAAGGGGTTCGATAACGAAAACGTATCGGAGAAAAAGCGGGCAATCCGAAGTTATCCCGAATCACATTCATATGTACGTACGCACTCACAATRCATAAKAATAGCATAGTGTCTTGAGCGTCGTTCCGAGGCACTAGCCACAAAAAAGCATTAATTAACTCACCTGGAGTGCAGGAGAATTTTATCTGAAGGTACTTCCTATCACCAGGACAAGGATCCTTAAATAAACTAAGTGTAAAGTTTAGTGTACAGTTGCCTCTCTGCTGACATTGCTCATAGGTTCTTATGCTGTTATATTCTTCAGTTTCTTTGGAAGCCGTACAGTTCAAAGGCGTAGCTGGTGTGGCGTTACAGTTCTCAGCCTGCTTCCCCACGAGTACTTTCTCAATGTTGATAAAGGTATTATTTGGACATATGAGGAATTGGGTTTGGTTCTCGCAGATGGTGGCGTTAAGAGCTTGAATATTGATCAAATAACGAAGGTTAGTAACTCTTAAGGACAACAAACACCCAAGAACCTTTGCGCGATTTTCTCGAGCAAGAAAATTTTGGCATATTTTGATTTTAAACCAATCAGAAAGCACCCTACAACAAGGGATCATTTGTAAAGYGTACGATCGCAAAGATTCATGGATGGACTTGAAACTATGAAAAAATAAACAAAATGATTTTGATGTCTTTTAGTAGTTGAATATAAACGAAATATGGAATGTCAGTAAGCAATAATATAGGTGAACTAATAATAAAAGCAATAATACGCGAACAAAAAGACTTAATAGGTCTTCCAGAGCGAAATGAAAAACCTTTAGGATAAAATAAGAGAACTCGAATAGCGCGTCCTCTGCATTATCAATCGCTTCTTGTATGACAGTTCAGCTGAGAACGTGTATTATGTAGTTAAGATAAGCCTAAGATACATGTGATTCCGGATACGTGTTGAATTGACGGACAAACCTGCAAAGGACAACTCGTATAGTGTTAAAAAGTCTGAATCCAGGTGAATGAATTTTTATCGAAGTAACAATATAATGATCCGTGTGGATGTTGCAGTTTTAAGAAGAACTGTTTGATTTGACTGACGTTTCGACAACCTCTGCGGCGGTCATTTTCAAAGTCAAGTGAACAACTTGCGGATTCAAAATATCCTTAAACATGTAAACGGAGTGTTAGTAAGGGGCTTTTTAAGGTAGAGTTTTCTTACCTTGACATGCCTTGAAGCATGGTATGTTCTTTGTTTGKGATGWATCACCAGAGCAGTCTGCATCCCTGTTATAGCAAACTCTTCTTCGCTGTATGTAATGCGGAACTCCGCATTCTTTAGGGCATGTTGTCCAAGCAGACCATTCTAAATACCCACTATTCTCTGCAAAACAAAGAAGATAAAGAACCTTATTCAGATCAAATAGGATCATTTATCAAAGGCACTATGCCATAGTCCATATCGCAACCCGCGGAAAGCCTTGTGACGCAGTGCATTTTGGGATTGATAAATGAGTAAACAAGTGAACAACGATGTCAGTGCTCCAGTTGTCTGTAACGTAGACCCAGTTTTCGAAAAACATTGGGAAATATTGATATTGTAGTTAATCTCAGAAGCGAAAAAACAAACAAATATCAACATGCAAGGAAATACAGCAAGAAAAACCTCCAAAAAATGTATAGTTAATCAAAAATTTCCATTTACTAGGCAAATCAAGCAAAAATGAAAACAAACATATGTTGTCTGTGGAAAAATCGAAACTAATTAGTGTTTTTACGATTTTAGCGATTTGTTTTGATGAAGAAAGGGAGATATATATCCCATGACGCATTGCAAAACCATTCAAAATGGCGGGCTTGTGATATGGACTGAAAATCATAAGGGCATGCGCCATTGATAACTGTCATAGCAATGTGTTTACGCATGCTCAGTATTACAATCAAGTATAAGTTTCGCAATGACTTCTTGTTAGATTATA